GATTAGATTTTTTTAAAGATTTTCATTTATTTGACAGAGAGAGAGCACAAGCAGGGGGAGCAGCAGGCAGAGGGAAAGGGAGAAGCAGGGTCCCCTCAGAGCAGAGCCTGATACAGGGCTCGATCCCAGGACCCTGGGATCATAACCTGAGCCCAAGGCAGATGCTTACTTAGCTGACTGAGCCACACAGGCGCCCATGTGATCAGATTTTTAAATTTAAAATGCCACCAGCTGCTCCTTCCTCACACAGCAGATAACAACTAAGCCGGCATCAAGGCCATGTCCTCAGTCCTCACTTTGTGCCAATCATACACATGCTATTTTTGTTGTGGGGGTTTTTTGTAGGATATCCTAAAACGAAGTTTTCCTCTTCATATTGGAGCTGAGAATTGTATACCTACTGTGACTAAGACATCTGTTTTGCTGGACAGTTGGGACAGCATCTGAACTCAAAAATAGTGTCCTGTTTTAAACAAAGAGTTCAAGAAAACCAAATGTTTTTAACTTATGGGTATCGTTCTGAGCCCAGCGACCACAAAAATGACAGGTGTCAAATTTTCATTGCTGCGGCTGGAGTGACTTTTTTTAGAACAAACCTACAGTAAATGACACCGTTGACCTTCAGTCTTGGGGGTCAACACTAAGCACTCCACTCCTGCTCAAGCTGAGTGTCCATCCCCGGCGAGGCTCAGCAGGAAATTCACACCCACCTGCTCCCGGACTCCTGTCCTGGTGTTCCTATGGGGCAGGTACTACCGTATACCCCATCTTCGGTCCAGGAAATGGAGACTACAATGTTTAATCTGGGCAAGCTAATGTTAATGGTCCAAAACAATAATATTCTAGAATATGTGGCAAAATATTTTAAGTTCATCCTTAAAGATGCCCATTTATTATCTGTTTCCTCACAGATATTACCAAAAACTAAGTACAAAAGAGTCAGCAAAAAGAGTTAGCTTATACAGGATATTGTCAACTCCCCTGAAAAGTTGTTACAATTCATCCCATCCTAACAAAAAATGACTGCCCTTAAAGAAAGTGTCCTACTGGTAACACCCGGTACCGAACCCATGCTGCCCACTTGTGTTTCTGGCTGTTAAGGCTTGTCGAGGGGGGTGGGTGGTGGGTGAAGGTGGGTGGGCACTGTGGCTGGAAAGAAAAGAAGAAGAAAACCATACTCGGTCTAGTAATTAGGGGAGTAACGCGTTTTGAAGTAACTCCTTGATAATATTATATGCTCGGGCAAAAACATAAAAAGCAAAACAAGCCCATTTTGAGACCTATTAACTGAAAATCATTTCTGCTATTATATAGATTCTAATGCTATAAAAAAGGAAAAAATTAAACCCCATCCTTAATCACAACTTTGGTAGTTATTTCTACTGAAAGAGATTCTCGACTATCTCTTGGATGTCATGTCTTCGGTCAACTGAATGTATGATCTTCAAAACATGACTCATGGTTTAGAAGCTATCTGCGCACTGAACACATTCCCTGACTCTGTCTCCCAAAAGCTGCAGGGATGCAGGCACTAAAAGATTATCAGAGTATGTAAGACTCTGGAAAGGTAATTTCAGTAACTGACAATAAAATAAAAAGAGACTTTGAATGCTCTCACTTACACACAAAATAATACATAGTTCCAGGAACCATGTGTGACTCCAGTAACACGTGAGGAAAGAAGATACTGGAGTAGTAAAAAATGGGTCTAGTCCGGACAAACAATCTTCATATCTGCTCCATAAAACACAAGGATAACTACCATTTTTTTTTTAAGATTTTATATTTATTTGACAGACAGAGATCACAAGTAGGCAGAGAGGCAGGCAGAGAGAGAGGAGGAAGCAGGCTCTGCACTGAGCAGAGAGCCCCATGTGGGACTCGATCCCAGGACCCTGGGATCATGACCTGAGCCGAAGGCAGAGGCTTTGACCCAGTGAGCCTCCCAGGCACCCCACTGCCAGTCTTTCTAAAGCCTTTATTATTATTACTATTTTTTAAGATTTTATGTGTTTGAGAGAAAGTGATAGAGAGCAAGCGCGTTCGTGCATGTCGGGGGGGTTGCAGAGAGAGAAGCAGACTCCTCACTGAGCAGGGAAGCCGGACATGGGGCTCAATCCCAGGACCCCAGGATCATGACCTGGGTGAAAGGCAGATGCTCAACTGACTGAGCCACCCAGCTGCCCCTTTCTAAGGCCTTTAAAATAAATATTTTAAATACAGTTTTTGCAGACGGGAAAAAGGGGTCCAAAACTCAGTCTCCCTGCCCTTCTACGTGAGCTGCCGATCCCTCACACTTGAAAAACACCACGGAAATGTCTGGCAATTAGTTCAGTGATAGGAAAGTCACCTGTTTAACGATTACATTTTCATGATGGCAACAAAAGCCACGTTTATATCCCAGACAAAATCATCACAGATCACAAGAATCAAGGCTAGGAAGCGTCTGCAAAACCAAAGGTGGGGCACGCCCCCCCATTTAAAGAGGACGGGCTGGCAGCCTGGCCCAGAGACGCCACGCCCGCGGGGGGTGTCACTGGCACGTGAAAGCCAGGCAAGAGCCCCACTCGGGGCGGGCGGGCCTGCCGGGAGGAGCCTGCGGTGAAGCAAGGACAACTAAGCTCCACCCCGCGGCCCCGGGCACCGGAGGGCACAGTGGCTTCTGCAGCGCAGAGGCCACCCGGGCGGGAAGCTGCGACTGCACAGGCCCGAGCTCTGCTCGGCCAGACCCGGGGGAGAGAGGCGGCAGGTGGATGCAGCCCCGCTCACACGCCCGGGGCTGCAGAAGGGACCGAAAACACTTAGCTCAGGGATGGCCCGGAAGGAAAACGGATTGCACATGGGACTTGTCCTCACTTAATTATTACAAACTACTGAAAAGAGCCAATTCCCTGGGGCGGAGCCACAGTTTCCATGGGGTGTGACCTGTCAGCGAAGCGGGGCTAACAACAGTCCTACCATGAAACCAGAACCTTTTACTTTGACCTGAGCCTACAAACCACCCCGAAGAGGACAAGCCCCCAAACCACCTCCCCACACTACAGCTGTCACACAGTGCCACAAACTACGGTACGCGGGTGCCCTGGAGCCAACATCTATAAAAATAGCTAAATTTATTTTAACTTCAGGAAGGTATTTCCTTCCTGCTGAATTTCTAGGTTTTATTTTACAGACCAGACAGGAAGTGTGTTCATTATAGCGAGTTTTTGTGTTTATAAAAAGTATTACATAATTTAAAAAAAAGTCTTTAAAATTATGCCATTAGATTTCATGTTTGGGGCTATCCACAAGCGTTTACTGACCTGGCAAAAAACACTGTAACTTGGTTTATTTGGGCAGTGACTGCTTTTTATTTTTGAAGCGGGATGAAGGAAAAGAAACTATGAGAGGAAAACAAATACATTTTTTAAATTCACAACCCGTAATCAGCACTTACAACCTTTATTGGCTCATAGTTTAAGAACACAAGGAGAGCTCACAGGCTGCCTAGTCCATGCTCCGTCTGTGCGGCGTCTGCAATAATGATGTGGAAGGGCAAAGGGACTAATGTCAGCGTGAGCTAGAACACTACTCAAAAGCAAATGGGCTTTTTAAACAGGCAACAATACGACTTCTTATGGAAACCAGGAGTCAGGATTTATAAACAAGAAAAAAGTAATTACTATCACATAGATGTTTAACCTGATCAGTTTTCTTCCTAAATTTCAAAGGTGATGACGTCTTCATGCATTAATAATGAATCAAAATGCTTCTGGTCCCCTTTGCTCCTGCTACTAAACCTATTCATGCATTTCTGTAGGGTTCCAGAAAGGCAACTCATTATCAATTAATTTTTATCAGATAAAGATACCATGTTTTTAATCACTGAACTCTTCTCTAAAAATAATCATAAACTCACGTCAACAAGTCGAATTCTGTGATCACAAAACTTCTCTCCATATGTTGCTTCCTTTACTGGGAGGAGTTATAACATGATACAGAGTAACAGCATAAAATGAACTCTGAATCATGCAGAACACGACAGTGTCTATCTACATCTGTTCCAAAACAAAGTCTTAAGTAGATATGAAACATCATGACTATAAGCTCGCTGAAGCCGTCATCAGGATTTTCTGCTGTAACATAAGGAGACCTCCAGCGCCGCAGGTGTTGCAAACGGCTACTGTGTGCAGTGGGCAGCCCGAGGCCATCCAGGATGGCTGTGCCCAATTCTGACATAACGTTATGGGTAAATAACCCCTGGAAAATAAACCACAGACCCGCAGTATATCTCATACTTTGGTAAACATGATTTGTGGATCGCTTTTCAGTTTTCCCGAAGGCTGATACATATTTCAATCATTTGAATCCATAAGTGTTAATTCTGAGTCGGTAGAGGTCACCTAACCACCTACCATCATGTTTTGGTGCTAAGGGCTGCACCTTTCAACAAAGCTACTGAAATAAAAAAAAAACAGAAACAAAGAGCCAAAGACTTGTGCATGAATGCTTATAGTGTCTAGTAATATCCTGAAAACTGGAAACGTTTTCAATGTCCACAGCAGATGAACAGATAAACTGTGGCGTGCCCGTGATGGAATCCGGGACAGTGATAAACGCAATGAGGTGGACGAAATCTCAGAATGAGTATGCGAAGTGAGACAGGCCAGGCAAAAAGCACAGAGTGTAGGACTCCGTTTATATGAAGTTACAGAACATGCCAGCAAATTCAGTGACGGACAGAGCATCAGAAACTGCCCAGAGACACAGTGGAAGGAGGAGGAGTAAAAGGGGCCCAAGGGGACTTTCAGGCTGAGGGGAATGCCTGTCACGGTGATCGTGGTGATGGTTTTGCGGGTGTGGACGTATAGAAGAACCAGTGCGTTATTCACCTTAAATATGTGCACTTCAGTCATGCTGCAGGTTGGGGGAGAGCTGCCACACCCTAAATTCTCCCTCTTGTTCTCGTAGGAAGCTTAAAGGAAAACCCTTTAAACCATGGTGCTGAGAAGGCCGGAAACATGAGCCAGCTGCGAGCCACAAAGCCCGGGCTCCTCGTGTGCGCGGCCGTATGTATGCATCTTCGTTTTGCTTTATTTACGGAACCCAACCCCTGAGGAAGCAGAGGAGGAACCCACCTACCCAGCAGTAGTGGAATGCGGCTTTTATCCGGATGAACTGTGTTCAGCTTTATTTGAAGGGAAAGGGGCCGCCCTACAAATCGCAAGATTTTGTAAAAACCCTCACGGTTCTCAAATTCTTGCTCATTTACGCACGTCAGGGAATTGCTCGAGGATTTCCCAGGAGTTGCGTGTCATAACCAGACCCTTGTCTGCAGAAGAGGGCAATTTCTCTCTGGCATACATTATAATGATTCGCAAGGAGCTGGCGATGTTTGCACAGCTTCTCAGAGCGATTTACGTGCCTCAAAACGTTTACTGTATTCATGTCGATGAAACGGCTCTGAAGAAGTACAAGACCGCTGTGCAAACCCTGGTGAACTGTTTTGAAAATATTTTTATTTCATCAAAGAGCGCAAGAGCGGCCCACACCGGCTTTTCAAGACTCCAGGCGGATATTAACTGTATGAAAGAGCTGGTCCGTCCCAAATTCCAATGGAACTACGTCATTAACCTTTGCGGGCAGGATTTTCCAATCAAAACCAACAAAGAAATCATACACTACATCAGAAGCAAATGGAATGACAAAAGCATCACTCCTGGAGTAGTCCAACCACCGAACGTGAAATCCCAGACAAGCGAAAGTCATCCTGAATCCACCCCTGAAGGAAATATCTACGTATCTCCAAATAAAAGATTCAAGGACAAACCGCCCCTTAATTTAACAATTTATTTTGGAAGTGCTTACTATGTCCTGACGAGGAAGTTTGTAGAGTATGTCCTGACTGACGCCCGCACAAAAGACATGCTTCGTTGGTCCAAAGACATCCAGAGCCCAGAACGACATTACTGGGTGACTCTGAACCGATTGAGAGGTAAGAACAATCTGGCTCGTGGGGTCTGTTCAAATCAGAGGCAATGACAGAAGTTTACTCTTGAGTGAAAGCTCTATCTCACTGTTTTCTACGACGCGGTAAATAGCTCTGCATTTTGCAAGACTTTCCACTTGAGTATGGGAAGCTCTTTGGTTTTAGGGATCCCAAGTTTGCTGAGAATGTGCCATGTTCCCACACCAGCCCGGCTGCTCCTGTTCCCTTTCTAGAAAGAAGTCCTACCAGCACCTGAGCATGAATCTTCAGAAACTTCTTCATTTAGTCATTAAATACTACTGTGTACCTACTAAATGCCAGACATAATGCTAGGGGCTCTTTAAGAATAGAAAATATTGGGGGGCCTGGGTGGCTCAGCTGGTTAAGCAACTGACTTTGCCTCAGATCATGATCCTGAGGTCCCAGGATTAAGTCCAACATCAGGCTCCCTGCTCGGTGGGGGGAGTCTGTTTCTCCCTCTGACCTCTCCCCTCTCATGCTGTCTCATTTTCTCAAATAAATAAATAAAATCTTAAAAAAAAAGAATACAAAATACTAAAAGTAGTAACTTTGGGGGTGGCAGACAGGATACCTCGGATGGGTTCCCTGAGAGGCAGAGGGAGGGCTGATGTCCTTCTGCACGCAACTCACTTTCTCTCTGCATAAAGCTGACCGGCTCCCGCAGGGGTGCGGCTTCAGGCTCGAACAGCTACGCTAATCGGTGCAGATGACAATGCAAGTGCCGGATCCAGTAGAAACCAGTTAGGATCTTATTATAATCTCTCACAGCCAGTGAAAATCCTACTTCTGAATCCCCTCAGAGGGCTGTCACGGGGAAGACACCATCCCAAGAAACCCAAGATCATTAGGCCCAGGGCACGCGCTACGCGGTCAGTGACTTTGGGGCTGCAGGAAGGGATGAAAGTGGAGCACAACGCCGGAACACGAGGCCAGCGCGGGGCTCCCCACTGCCCCCAGAGCCTTAGCCCCTCGTCGGATGACAGCGGAGAGCCGAGCTCTTGCGGCGAGGCTGGACTTGCCCTGCGCCCCGCCTCTCCCCCGGACCCCTGCCCAGGGAGCAAGGGGAAGGGCCGAGGTGCTGTCCGCGCACGGGGCCATGCCTGTTCTGCTTCCCCCCCCAGATGCCCCAGGAGCCACCCCGGACGCCGGCTGGGAAGGAGGTGTTCGCGCTGTGAAATGGAGACACGAGGAGGGACGTGTTCACGACGGATGTAAAGGTAAAAATCGAACCAAACCAAAAGCCAGCTTTCCTGTTTGATGGAAACTGTCCAGCTGCCGCCCGGGTACTGTCGGGAGCCACAGACGATCGTGCGCACAACAGGGATGGGATGGGCGAGCTTCCGATGCCACGGGGTCAATTTTTAAAAAACTTATTAATTATAATACCTAGACAGAAAAGCACACAAATCCTAGGTATTTGGGTTGACACATTTTCACAAAGTGAAGCCAAAACCGGGCTGCAACTTTAAACGTTTTAAGATAAAAATACACAAAAGCTAGTGGGTTTCTTCTGGCCGCTCCTAGAATTCAAACTCAACACTCACTTCAAAACGCTGTGTGTCTCCCGGGCTCGCCACCAGAACAGACGATCAGTAACAAACACAGGGGGAAGGTCCAGAGCGGGTTTTTAAGTGGTTCTTGCTGAAGAAAGGTCTTTTTGCTTTTTGCCCTCAGGAGACTGTCCTGGGGAGCTGTGAATTCTTGTCTGGTGTCCCCAAGGTTTTAGTTACCAGGACAATACAGAACAGCACGGCTTGGGTGGGGAGGGCCGTGTCCCTCGGTGGCGAACAGGCTGGAAAAGCACCGGCCGCCGACAGGGTCTCAGGCACCCGCTCTCCGCACCCACCCAGAGCCCAGGGTCGGACGGCTGCCCCCGAGGAGCACATGACCTTGGGGACAAGCCGGACGCCAGCGGTCACAGTGCCACGTACACACGTCCCACGGGGAGAGACGCAAACCCTCTGGGAGCCTGCACGGAAAGGCAAATGAGGGGTCTGACCTTTATGGGGCCGCTGACGTATGGGACGGAGAAGGCCGCAAGAGCGGAGCAGATGTGCGTGCGGGTGGCCGGGGCACAGCAGCCCCTGTCCGAGGGGACCCGGCCTCCCCTTTCCGTCTGCACGGGGCTGCCCAGCCATGGTGGGGACTACCGCCAGGTACAGCCACCTCCTCTCAGTGGGCATTTGGCTGTGGTCCTCGGGCCTGAGTTACAGTAGACCAGAGAGAACCGGGGTCACCCAATTTTTAAGCTGTTTAAAAGACTGACCTAAAAGAAACAGGCTGCAGACAAATGGAAAGTCCAACACCCAACACCAGAGTAATTCGAGGACAAGCAATTCCTGCTGCTGTGTGCGCAGCCATCCTCCCGACAGGAACCAGGTTGGAAGGGCTGGAAGAATTTTCCAGATTTTTTTTTTTAATATTTGTTTTCCCTTCCTTTTTTTTTTCTTTTTAAAAGATTTTAATTATTTACTTATGTGACAGAGAGAGAGCACAAGTAGGGAGAGGGGCGGAAGCAGGCTCCCCGCTGAGCAGAGAGCATGATGTGGGACTCAATCCCAGGACCCTGAGATCATGACCTGAGCCGTAGGCAGAGGCTTAACCCACTGAGCCACCCAGGCGCCCCCTAGATATTTTTAATAAATATTTTCACCAGGATTCAATTAGGGACCTAAGGAGCAACCTCAACCTTTCTTTACAAAACAGGCACTTGCTGCCATTACACAGATGTGGGGTGAACAAGCCTAGTCAATAAATGCTCGGGTGGGGCTGGGGGGCTCAAATGCTTCCTGAAAACATGATTCACTCACAGTATAAGAAGTCACGAAGGAGGGGCACCTGGGTGGCTCAGTCGTTAAGCGTCTGCCTTCGGCTCAGGCATGATCCCAGGGTCCTGAGATCGGACCCCACATTGGGCTTCCTGCTCAGCAGGAAGCCTGCCTCTCCCTCTCCCACTCCCCCTGCTTGTGTTCCCTCTCTCGCTGTCTCTCTCTCTCTGTCAAATAAATAAATAAAATCTTTAAAAAAAAAGTCACGAAGGGCTGTTGCTATCAATAATAATGATTTTGAATTCTTTGAGTGACGACCTGGATATGTCAATGTTGGCAAAAAAGCCCAATTACTGTGAATATTTTTTTTTTCTTAAGATTTTCTTTATTTGACAGACAGAAATCACAAGTAGGCAGAGAGGCAGGCAGAGAGAGAGGGAAGCAGGCTCCCTGCCGAGCAGAGAACCCGATTCGGGGCTCCATCCCAGGATGCTGAGATCATGACTTGAGCCAAAGATAGAGGCTTAACCCACAAGCCACCCAGGCGCCCAATTAACTGTGAATCTTAGCAAAAATCAGCACTGCTCCAAAGTAAACACTTCAGAAAGCTCTCGCCCTTGCTCACTTCAGTGTGCAGACCCTCTACAAGTAAAGCAGTAATACGGCCCCTGCCTTTGGCCGAGCACTGGCAGACCCGGCCCCCTTCCGGGGTCTGGCTCTGGGCCCGCAGTCAACGCTCACAACGACTCTCAGTTGTTAACTGTCATAGTCACACTTTACAGAGGAGGATCCCCAGACTCTGAGAAGTGAGGTCACTCCCCATGTCACAGGAAGTGGCAACAGGAAGTGGTGGAGCTGGGTCTCAAACCAGGTGCCGCTGCCTGGTGCCCCTCCATTGGATGAGCTGACACCAAGAGGGACGGTCACCCTGTTGCTATCAGCAACAGGGAGTTTATTTGTAATCATCAAAATAACAGGAACCCGACTGAGGACTTTCCATTTGCTTGTGTACCCTTCTGGCTCAAACTCATGTGTATGCAAATGACAGAATTATCCAAACACAATCAAGGTGCTGCTCATTCTTTTTTCACTCTGTCCTAAGTATTTCAGCCTGCTTTTCTTCATAGTCAGACTTTTCTTTCTTTCTTTTTAAAAAGATTTTATTTATTTATTTATTTGACAGAGAGAGAGAGAGAGAGAGATACAGCGAGAGAGGGAACACAAGCAGGGGGAGTGGGAGAGGGAGAAGCAGGCTTCCTGCAATGCAGGGAGCCTGATGCAGGGCTCGGTCCCAGGACCCTGGGATCATGACCTGAGCCAAAGGCAGATGCTTAAGGACTGAGCCACCCAGCCGCCCATATTCAGACTTTTCAAATGGCGAAGTATCATTCTATGGTGACTCTGCGACATTGTACCAGGAACGTCTGATAGTTAACTCATAACTATCATATCATATCATAACGTCTGATAGTTAACTGATAGTTAGAAAGATTTCAATCAGACGACAGGTGCCTTTTCCAGAGTGCTCACTGTGTGCCAGCTGCTTGGCCTCTTCCTGGATAAACGCCTGCTCCCAGGGGAAGGTTCCCTCTGCCTTTTTCCAGCTGCACAAACAACACCGGACGGTTCTGTGCTTGCAGTTCTGCCCCTTTCCCCTCACTCTCTCAGACAGGTTTTCAGAAGTAGGATGGCGAGGCCGGGTGCAGAGGAAAGCTGGGCGGAGCTGCGCAGAGAGCAAGGTCTCCAAAATGGGCAGACCTTTCCCTCACACACAAACTGGGAGCCTGCTTCTCTGGGAACCGAAGGTGGTAATGGGAGCCACCTCACAGTGCTGGTGGGAGGGTGACAGAGAAGGAAGCGCTGAGCGCGGAGTCAGGCACATGAAACATGCTATGGAGTTCATCTAGAAGGAATGAGCACTGGATTCTACCATTCCAATTTTAATTCCTTCCATTTGTATCACTCACTCAGCAAGAGCAAGAAAGGACTGTAGCAAGGGCCTGTGGCCACCGAGGCAATTCTTGAGAACTACCCACAACCAAGGAAAACAAAGTTCATGGGACCTAACACAGAATTTAGAATGGGCCAGGCAAATGAGCGCTATTAAACCTCCCTCGTGTTTGTGACTAACGAACCTTCCACAGCATTCCCTTAAAGTAGCCATTAAACATGCCAGAGATCACGGACAGAAAGAACGGCAACATCCCTGTCCCCAGTGACTCAAAATCCTACACAGAAGCCCCGTGAGAGCGAGCTGGGAAATCACACTCAGTCTGCGCTCCTACGAAGCAGGGGCCTTTACAGATGACCCTGGAAAAGTGTCCCTTTTTGTGTGTGAATGTGACCTGACGAGGACACAAAGGTAGCTGGGTTTTTGTGCTTCTTTCCACAGGCCGCTACGTCCACGAGAGCTGCGTGTATGCCCGGGAGACCTGCCGTGGATCACTCGGTCACCTTTGTTTGCCAGCACATTCGACTCGACAGACCCTCTGGTGGTGACATGCCTGGAGCGGTGGCACCAGCTGTGGTGCATCAGGCAGAGGCTCCCGTGGAGCCACACTGGCGTTTCCCGCGGGACAGTCACTTCAGCAGGAGACCGAGCGGCTGAGCGGGGAGCTGCCGAGTGTTTGCTTTCTTACTGCTACCGCCTGCTCCTGACTCGTAGTAAGAGAACTTCCAGCCAAAGAAGGAAGAGTGAGAAATGATGACTTGATACAAGCCAGTCGTCAGATGACTTTAGCAACACGCTGTTGACAAGCCGTTCCTATTAACCGTAGGCCACCTTCCAGCTTTGAGGAAGAAATCACGAGAGGAAAGGTGACTCAAGGTACTGCTGGGGGCCCTGGACCCGCCAGCTGGAGGGCTGACTGCTCCCGTAAACAGTGGCTGCGACACTAGATCCTGACTCAAGTCAGACAAGAACACGCTGTCTCAGGGACCTGCTGTGGATGCGGGTCTAATGCGGAGCGAACCCACTGGAAACGAGACTTCGCTTGTCTCCAACGGTGCTCTCTGGCTGCGAACCATGCACCTTTGTTCCGCTAATCCTACAAAAACACAGAAGCGTCTACTTCCTTTGGGTAAAATGAAACTAATCCAGAGTTCAAACACACTTTCTTAAAAGGGCTGCCCTACGTCTCTGGAGTCTCACGGTGCTAATGGCACCATCAGCCCCGATGGCCCCATGCTACGTCTGAGCTGTCCCATACCGATGACCACAGCCATGGCCACAACCACAGGGGGCTTCGGGGCATTTGAAATGTAGACAGTATGACTGATTAAGTCCATTTTCATCTTTATTTTTAAAAAAATTTAATGAACTGGAAATTTAAATAGTCACATGTGGCTGGTGGTTACCATACTGAACAGCACTGGCCAAAGGCAGGAATGATCTTAATTCTCTCCACTCGCAGATCTGGGTGTCTTAACAATGCATGGCTTTCTCATCATTCTGTTGAGGACTTTCCTCTATATTCTCCTTCTCTAAAATAGTTCGTGGCATCGTACAAGATTGAAAATGTCCAACTATAAAGTGGCACGACATGGAACCACCAAAATAAATCAAAGCTGGAACCACAGGAGAAGACACTAAAGAAATAAACATGGGATTCAAAAGCAGAGTCTAAAGCTTCCGGGAACTGAAGCTCCGCAGTGAAACGAAATCAAATCAACTCGGTCAAGGCCAAGAGCCCCTGGAAAGCACAACGCTAAACAGAAGGAAAAGAGGCTCTGAAAGCAGGTGCCACGAGTCAAATGTAAAAACCCCAGAACACTAAAATCCCCATCTCAACAAGCATTTCTCCGACCTGGACACCTGATTCCAAAGAAATCACACACTGAAAATGTTAAGACTGTCAAAGAGCAGAACGCAAGGGCCCCACAACAGCACAGCTCTACTTTTCTACACAGTTTTGCAGGCCAGCACAGTGCTCGTGGATGATGCCAACTGGCTATGTTCAGAAAGCTTGAACCCACCGTGTTATGTATTTTATAACAGCTCACTAGCAAGTTAAGGGCAAAACCCATAAAAAAAAAAAGCAAGCTTGTATCTTTTCAAGTTACTTGAAACATAAATCTGCCTTCATTTTGTTTCAATGTCAACTGAATATTTCATTTCGATTGTCATTTCATTCCATATTTCATTTCATTGTCAATCCAATAGTCACATTACTATGGAAGGGTCCAACCTGGGCCTCTACTTAACAGATCTGCCGTGAGGATGAAGAACTTAGAATGACGTCTGACTCATCTCACAGATAAGGAAACTCAGCCAGGGCAGCAGCGGGACCTTCCAGGACCACAGGGCTAAGCAGGAGGAGCTGGGATTTGGATCTAAGCGGGCGTCCTGGCTCCAGAGTCCAGCCTTACTCTATGCGGAGTCAGACTCTCCCTGTGTTCATTTGTAAAAACAAAAGTAAATCGCATGCAAAGACAATGTCTGAAACATAGCGCTACAGAATGTATCTTTAAGGTGACACATTTATCAGATCTTGAGATAATTTCCCTTTTCAGGAGCAGAACCTTCTTGCTTATAACGCAGACTCTACTGTTCAATTTTCCTACTGGTTTTCTCTAACATGTGAAAAAGTTCAAGGCTGCCTGTGCTGCCGGTTATGCAGTTCCCTGAGGCTGAATATTTCCAACGACCATAATGATGGCAAGAAAGCTAAAATTGCCCGAAGGTCAAAGCATGAAAAAAAAATCAGCATTCACAGACCCCTTCCGAAGATACCCCTTTCTCTAACATTTTCTCCCCTTTCCATTCCACCTCCCCACGAAAAGACAGCAGAAGAGTGGTGCCTGGCCGGCTTGGTCAGCGGAGCATGCCACTCTTGATCCTGAGGTGGTGAGTTCAATCCCTATATTAGGCTTACAGATTACTTAAAAAAAAAAAAAAAAAAAAAACCCAGCATGAATGTAAATTTTTGTTTCACTTCTGACTTTAAAATATCCACACACCCTACTCAATGACTACAAAGCCTAAATAAATGAAGTCAGTGGAAAGTCACACCTAACTCTCAATCAGGGATTTAGATCACTCCAACACCGACATCAGGGATTCCCAAACGTTGTAGAGCACACAGATCCTCGGGGTGGGGGCATCTTGTTAAAATGCAGGTTTTGATTCCACAGGTCTGGAGAGGGACCCAGGAGTCTGCAATTCTTAAAAAGAGAAGCACAAAGGAAGTCCCAGGTGATGCCAATATGGCAGGACCGTAGATCATTCTCTGAGAGTGACAAGCGCTTAGTTCATTTGGCAAACTCTAATTATTACTCCAGTGTGTTTCCATTATTACAAGAAGGGAAGAACACAGTGGGGAATACAGTTAGTTTTTGGCTAGTGACTTGTTTATAGTGAAAACAAACATACACACAAACCTAACAACTGCATCTCCTAGGACCCTGTTTAGGGAAATGAAGTGTGCGCGCCGTGTGTTTCAGAACACACAGCCGGTGATCTCAAAGGCCTGAATCTCTTCTAGTCAACTGCAAACCCAAATGTATAGTATGGAACTAGAGTGAAAAGTAGAGAAAACGTACACCCTAAACATCCCTGAGTTCGGGAGTCATTCTTATGACACTCGTTTCTCTAGATTGTAGATGTTACTTAAAAAACCGAAAATAGGGGCGCCTGGGTGGCTCAGTGGGTTAAAGCCTCTGCCTTCGGCTCAGGTCATGATCTCAAGGTCCTGGGATCGAGCCCCGCATCGGGCTCTCTGCTCAGCTGGGAGCCTGCTTCCTCCTCTCTCTCTACCTGCTTCTCTGCCTACTTGTGATCTCTGTCAAATAAATAAATAAAATCTTAAAAAAAAAAAAAAAAACGAAAATACTTGTTTTATTCTTCGATACTGTGGCTTCAGCTCCCTGCACGGACATTTCCCTGATGCGCTGCAGCTCCTGGAGCTGCACGTGACTCTTCCTTTTGGCAGCTTCGGCAGAAAAGGCTGGTCTCGCTCCCTCCTGGGCATCCAGCTCTAGCACCTTCCCTAGGCTTCCCTGCAGTTCGGTGTGGCCGTGGGACTGATGGACAACAGAAGTGATGACCCACTTCCCGGCCTGGGCCATAAAAATCTCCCAGGTTGTGTGCTCCCTGCCCTGTTCCCATCAGTCAGCTGAGAGCAGAGCACTCCAAACCCCGGGGGAGGTCTAAGCCGTAAGGCAGCAGGAGCCCGAGTCCTCGAGTTTCCCGTGAAAGAAAGCTGCCCACCCAGGAACTGTCCCTGCGTTAGCCGCTGGAATGTGAGGGCTGTGGGTCAGAGCAGTTGGCCAATCTCGACTGATACGCTTAGTTCTCCTACACTTGAGAGACTTTAAATGAGAAGCAGGAGTTCGATTCCTGATAGCAGGATATACATTTGTAATTTATTATTTTAAAATGTTACTGTTTGGAATCTGGATCTAAAAGGAAAGCTGTCTAAGAATTTACTATAAACTTTCATTTTCTGTATTAGAATCTGAAGCCCAGAGAAGAGACAGTCTCAAGCTAGCGCTGGTGTGTGACCCAAAGCTGACTTGTACCAGGCTCTCCGTGTTGGTTATGTAGACAAATGACTCCCACTGGAGGGGGCCACTGACTGTCCCATGCTCTATGATTTTCTAAATTGCACAGTGTTATACACTGAATGTGTCCCCCACAAAAAGCTAAAGTCCTAGCCCTCAGTATTTTAGAATGTGACCTTCTTTGGAAATCAGGTCGCTGTAGATGCAGTTAAGACGCAGTTACTGGGGTGGGCCTAATCGGATGACTGGTTGTCCTTACAAAAAGGGGAAATCTGGACACAGAGACCGCCTCCATAGAGAGAAAACCACATGAAGACATGCAGGGAGAAGATGGCCATCTCCCAGCCCTCAGAAGGAACCAACCCTGCCAATACTGTGATTTCAGACTTCACGCCTCAAGAACTGTGAGTAAACTTCTGAGGAGCTCCCCAGTGTCTGGCGCCTTGTTGCGGAAGCCAGTATGAGCAAACCAATATTCCATCTGGCTCTGCGAAGGCAATTTTTTTATGTGGATCCTGAAGTGAGAAAGTGCTCATTATCTTGCTCTTCTGGCAACAGATTTATTTTCCCGAAAGTTCTCTCCCCGAGGGATTCCTGGAGGGTAGCCAGCGCCCCGTCTTGCCTGTCAGAGGTTTCGACAGCCATGGCAGCTGCCCTCATGAGAGAGGAAGAGCCCACGCTCCTGGTTCTCACCTGCCCCTGCCCCCCATTGTGCAACCCCTGATGCCCTCAGTTCCCCTTTCCACCTGCTTCCTTCCCTTCCCTTGAAGTACCCAAGGTGCTGACGTTTAAAAGTTCACTAGCGCCCAGTAAAACTTCTCAAGTACCAAGAAAAGTGTCAGACTTCCCTTGCAATGCTGTATTTCCATGACATACAATCAACTTCTCTGTGAAGCTCTGCACAGACAATGCTGTTTCGCTACAAGTTTGTTAGCATGGTCACTGATGATGTGCGAGGTCAGCCCATGCAAAGGGCAGCTTCGGGCCATCCGAGGGATGGTTACCGTTACGGGTAGAAGAAAATAAGGTCTGGCTGCTTTGGATCAGCCACTCGCCCCTGCCCCCTGGCCTGGCTGCCCACTGGAATCATTCTGGAAACTCTCTAATAAAAGCAGAACTCCGCGGGGTTCTTCCCCAACTGTGAAGATCCAGATTTAGTGGCTGAAATGGGGGACGGGAACCGACATGGCTGTGGAGACTCTACCGTGCAGCCTGGTGTGGCAGCCACGGATTTAGCGGGTTTGGCTTCTCTAATACATTTCAGCATTTCCCACCTCCTCAAGCACACTTCCTGTGCTTGCACTGTGTCCAACACAGAAACACCACCTTCCATACTGCGTGGGAAAACAAACACACCCGAACACGATGTGTACAGAGCTCCCCTCCTGCCCAAGGGAGCCCCAGGCCAGCCCCAGGCGCCCACGAGGCCTCCCCCACGGGAGCCCCGCGCACACCTGCTGCCCGGCTCCTCCCCTTGGCCGGCCGGCACCCTCTGCGTGCCCTGCACAGGCCGACACTTATGCTCCCACAGGCATCGACAGCGCCACACTGCACGCGCAGCTGGACCTGCTCCTTGCGCTGGCCTCGAACTTTCCACCACCCAGTCCGACTCCCTTCCCAGGCCTCTCTCCTGGCCCACACGCCCCGCCCTGCCCATGTGTGGATGACACCTCGCACTGCACCTCCGGCTCTGCTGGATCCCCTGGCCGCTTTCACGGCAGCGGGGCCTCTCCCTCCTCTTCTCAACAGCCTCCACCTCTTCCCAGAGCCCCACCCACGTCCTGCGCCACCACCTGCGACCTGTCCCATAGCTTCAGGCTTCAGCGGGGGCTGATGTACCATCAGTGTCTTGATGTATTTCTATAAACATGCCTGTCATTTCTAACTTGACTTAAATTTACTCCGAACACTAGCTTTACTCTCTTGCCATAAATAGCAAAGCAACAGCCCTTGCCACTGCAGCAGCCCCTCTCCCTCGGGGACATCAGCCTCTGTTTCCTTCCCAGCAGCTGTCACGATCCCTACTGCCATGCTCAGCAATCTGAGCCCCTCTTTCCAACGGGACTGGGGGTCCCGTGAAGGCAGAGTCTGTAGCAATCTTATCCACCAGGCTATCCCACTGTACCGTGCTTCGGACAGAGGCTGGCCCCTCACAGGTGTTCAGTGAAAGCCGCTGAATGAAAGAACATTCCCAGTGGGGAGAAGCAGGGCAAGCGGCCCGGTGAAAGCCACACAGGGTTAATGTGGGTGGAAACACCATCAGGAGCTGCTGGCATCCACGTCATGAAACTCAACAGTTTCCCATGGCCAATGGAACACCAGAGACACAGGTGTCTGGTCTGCGCCAGCGACAGCGGGAAAGCAGGGCCATCGGCACTTCTGGCACGTGAGCTGCACGGGCAGCTCCTACAAGAAGTATCTGCTCCCCTGTGTGAGCGCGCACGGATGCGCTCTGCGGGTGCGAGACGGACACGCCTTGCTCCTTGCTCTCACGCACTTCCAGGTGGAGCAGAGAGGACCGTGAGGGTGGCGAAAATACTCTGCATGACACCGTGATGGCAGATACATGTCATCACTCATTTGTCCAAACCCACAGAACGTACGCCACCAACGGAACCTGAAGAGATCTGGGGTGATGGTGGACTGATGGAGGTTCATCAGTCCCCCCGACGAGGGGGGACATTGATAATGGGAGAGGCTATGTGTGGGGGGGAGGAGGGTAGAATGAACAGAGGAAATCCCTTACTTTCCTCTTAATTTCACTATGAAAACTACTCTAAATAAATAAGTAAAGTCTTACAGGAAACAAAAAGGGAAAAAAACAACTGTCCCAGTCCAGTGGGGAAACCACAACGTAACTACCAATGACATTTTGATGCGATCAGTGAGATAACAAGGTGCTCGGGAAATGGGGAAGGAGGCTTGGCAGCAAGGGTTCACAGAGGAAGCAATCGCTCTGCAGCTAAGGTTCACAGGGGGCGTGACCTCCCCAGGCTGGGCAGGTCAGGGCAGAGGGAACAAAGGCACACATGGGAGGTGGTCAGGCAGCGGCCTGAGCTCAGCCTGAGCTGGTCAGTCAGGGACACGTCACAAAAGGCGGTCTGAATCCACACGCAGCCAGGATGAGCCATGCAAACGTTTTAAGCAGAGAAACAATGAATTAGATCTGTATTTTGGAAAGAATTGAAGGATGATGAAATGCCACATGAAGGGAGGGACCCTAAACCATCTGATTTCCTGAGCTACCAAGACGGAACAAACGATGTACATCAACTACTCACTGTGTGACAAACTTCTGCTTTTATCTCTTTCAAGGCTCGCTCAGAAAACACACAACCACAGCACCGCAGGAAGCAAAACCTGGAGAAATAATCCAAAATGGAGGATGACTTCAATGATAATTTAAAAATGATCGCCCAGATTATCAGTTAACATTTGTTCAGTTTGTACATAGGCCAGGAACTACAAAGAGAAAAATGGTCGCATTTAATCCCATTAAGGAAAAAGAAATTTGTATGTCCCATATATATTTACTTACATACTACTTTATATAGTTTTTATATATACTTTATATATTCTGGTCTACATAGACCAGAAATACAGGCCATAGTCCCATTCCTGGTCCCTTGTAATAATCCTTTAGAATAAAGTCTCTCCTACAAAAAAAAAAAATACAAAAAAACCATCCCCCACAAACATAAAAAGTCACAAGACAGAATAGGAACACTGGGAGAGACTATTTTAAATATATGTGAGATTCAGTGTTTTATGAATATTCACAACGGTCTCAAAAAGCAAAAATAATGTATTAGAAAAACGGGCAAAGGCGTTAACGTGGGATTCATGGGAGAAATATAAATGGTCAAAACATATCAAAGATGCTTAACCTCAACTGTTAATTAAAGAAATTCATGGCAAAATAATGATGTACCACGTTTTACGTATCTGGCAGTAGTGAGGAAGACTGAGTCACCCTGTTGGAAACAGGCGCGTCCGCCGGCGGTGGGCACAGCACTGTGCATCTTGGGAGAACAATGCATCAGTATTGAGCAAAGAATCACTTTTCAGAGCATCTCCTATAGAAACATGCTCACAAGCGTGCAAATGCGTAAATATGTATTTATGAAGTTGTATAGGACAGTGCCACTCTTTTTCTTTTTTAAGGTTTTATTTTATTTTATTTGACAGAAAGAGAGATCACAAGTAGGCAGAGAGGCAGGCAGGGAGAGAGGGGGGAAGCAGGCTCCCCGCCAAGCAGAGAGCCTGATGCGGGGCTCGATTCCAGGACCCTGAGATCATGACCCGAGCCAAAGGCAGAGGCTCAACCCACTGAACCACCCAGGCGCCCCAGGACAGTGCCACTCTTACAAGGAAAAAGGAAAGCACCTAGATGTTCATCAACAGAGGAATGGTTACATAAATTATGAACACTCACACAGCTATTAAAGGAGCAGGGTCAATCTGTGTGCAAGGCCATGGAAACACGCTCACATTAGAGAAGTACGAAAGAAAGGTTACAAGATAGGTTACAAGATGCATATAACACGTTCCCACGACTGGAAAAGAAGATACAGTTATTTCTATTTCCAATGGCAGGGGTGTAAGGAAGTACAGAGTATGTGTGTTGGTGCTGGGCAGGTCTGTAGCGGGGTATGAAACTCCAAACAACTAAGAACATGCCATGGGAGGTGGAAACTGGGGGAAAGGGAAAGTCATGTACACATTTTACTTCATACAATCCTCTAAAAACACAACAGAAAGTCTCTGCAAGGGGTGCCTGGGAGGCTCAGTCAGATAAATGACTGCCTTCAGCTTGGATGGTCCTGGGATCGAGTCCCACAGGGCTCCCCGCTCAGCAGGGAACCTGGTTCTTCCTCTTCCTCTGCCTGCCGCTCTGCCTACTTGTGCTCTGTCAGATAAAATAAATAAAATCTTTTTTTTTTATAAATATTTTATTTATTTATTTGACAGAGATCACAAGTAGGCAGAGAGGCAGGCAGAGAGAGAGAGAGGGGTAAGCAGGCTCCCTGCTGAGCAGAGAGCCCAATGTGGGGCTCGATCCCAGGACCCTGAGATCATGACCTGAGCTGAAGGCAGAGGTTTAACCCACTGAGCCACCCAGGTGCCCCAAAATAAATAAAATCTTAAAAAAAAAAAAAAAAAAAGAAAAGAAAGTCTCTCCAATTCTCTAGGGATTATAGTGGATACAGATTACCTTAACAAAAACCCAGTTAGTAACACTGTACTACATTCATTTACTGTGTTTGGGGCAAAAAAAAAAATCTTTTTTTATGGATGCTTACTAATTATTAGTAATTTAGAAAATTATTTTTCTTTAAACAAATGCTCAAAGTTTTCATTACATTAAGTCATTTACTTCGATTTTTCTCTGTATTTAAATCTTTATTATATAAGCTTTTAATAAACGTATGAAGTCACCCCCAAATCAATTTTCTACTGTGGAGGCCCTATTAATAGCAGGAGGGCAAAGCCAAAACAGGCAAAGCTCAATTAACTGGGAAGAGAGAAGAGAGGAGACTAGTAAAAAAAAAAAAGGGAAAAACTAGGGAACCCATAATCAGAACAATAGGTTATAGGTAACCCCTGCTCAAGACCCCAGAGTTGAGTCTTTCTGCTAAGTTCCTCTTTTCGGGTGAACCATGGTTTTCCTAAAAAGAAGTGGGAAGCCAGACACAAAAAAAAAGGTCGAATGCTGAGTGATTCTACATATAGGAAATCTCCAAAATAGGCAAATCCATGAAGACAGAGCAGACCAGCGGTGGCCAGGGGCTGGGGCTGTGGCTGGGGGTATGCGGAGAGGCTGCTGCGTGGCTACAGAGTTTTCCTGTGGGGTGAGGGAAATGGAGGGAAATGCAAGGAGACAGAGGCTGGTGGCTGCACAGCACTATGGTTGTACCGAACACCTCTGAAACATGCACCCTAAAATGGTCACTTTGATGTTACAACTTTAAACTTGAAATAATGTGTTGTACACCACATACAAAACCACACACAAAAGTGGGATGAGGCGAGGTACGTGAGTCTGCTTCCCTAGAACTTTAGCTTTTAAATTAATTCATTACTTTTTCTTTCTTTCAGCTTTATTTAGGTACAACTGACAAACGCAACTGTCTATACTTAGGGTGTACAGCTTGATGATTTGATATATGTACACACCATGAAATGGTCATCACTATCAAGCCAATTAACATATCCATCACCACTAAATGGCAAACTTTGAGAGGCTTAATAAAGTCAGACTATCTAAAGAATATAATCTTTAAAAGCTCCTTGGTCCTAAAATTTTATTTCTCCCCAAATCTACAAAGCCACAGGTTTCGCCATTTCAGGGCATGGTGATCATGCTCTCTGACGCGCTTTGCCACACAGAGTGCACACACGTCTGTTAAACGGATGTGTACAAATGCGCCAGAATGCTCCAGATCCTATGTGGTCATTTATAGCTCAAAGTTTTTACTTACTTGAGATTCTCCCCCTACCTCAGCCCCAACCCGTTTCCTGAATGAAAATAGTAAAAAAAATACTATCTTTCAACAAGTAATATCTTAAATGGAAGATTCCAGATGGCAGATGGGACCACCAGTTATTAAAGGTATTTCAAAATGTAGGGAAAGAGCTGAAAGCTTTGGCTTGCTGAGACATCTTATAAAAAGGCACCGATTAACCATTCAACACTCATATTTTTCAAGGCAGAAATATACACATCTCTTATGTTTGCTATAGAACTCTCGACCTCAGATTTCTGGTGCTCTAGTCAGAGGATTCGTTTGCTACAAATTCAGAGTAAGCTATAATCATCAGCTAGGTCTTTAGGTGACTGACCGACCACATATTCGGTGACCGTTTTCCACTGCATAGTCTTCAGCAATTATAAGGAAACGGGAGTTGTCTGATGGGCAACATTTGTCCTTTGCTTTCTTCCCATAAGAAAAGACCAAATAATCCAACTCAAGTCTTCTAAGTGTCCCGTGAAAACTTTTAAAAATCCCTCTTGAGGTGCTCCTACTTTCAAGAACAGAAAGCAGAGACACTGAAGTTAAGGGTCTCGGTGGGACACCACGTTATAAACAGCTGTTAGGGAATGAACGAGGTCTTATGGCAGCACCACAACCTCTAAGGCGCCACCCAAATCAAAGGACCCCTTAAAGAGGACTGTGTGATTACATGGCTACAGCAACATTATCTAACCAGACTCCACACCAGCTGCCCCACAGCCCTTACTGACCTGTGCCGGCCATTCATCTCCAAGCCCACAACGGGGCAGATGAAACGTGCCCGCTGGAGGTCATCGTGTTTGTCACCTTTTGTGTTTCCTTTGTCCCCTTCCCAGGCAGGATTATCAGAAAGCCTCAGTTCTGTCACATTCTGTGAAAAACCATCCATAGTTTATGAATTCATGTGATAAACGGATCATTCTTAGACTCAATAACCACCTAAATCGATTGAGAAACTGTTTTTCCAGACCTTTCCCATCCAAACCTCTTCTTCCTAGCTCCTTTCCTTTGGCTGTCAACTGTAACACGGGTAAAAAAATTAAATCATAAATTATGATAGAAAACAAGCCTTCTAAAATTCACTGACTGGCAAGTGAATTAGTTAACTTCTATTTTACAAATATTTTGCTATTTAAGGAAAAGTAACTTTGGACATGAAAAATGACTCCACTAAGAGAAACCTCTGGATCGGTTTCATCCAGAAAGCAACATTTTCTTTCCCTGCCAATCCTCACTGAGGCTGCTCCATATTCCTGGCAGCCCAGGTTTATTTAATAACTGAACAGACAATAACATCTATGAGGCCACAGTCCAGTGAGTCCAGCACAGAACATTAGCCAGGGAATACCACCATATTCCAAGAGCTGGCCGTTCACGGTTTCAGAAGCTCACCTTCACAAGGACTGAAGCAATGGCACCACGTCAGCACTTGGGCACTCCTGTACCACCCTGATGTCAGCACTCCGGACAGCACCTGAGTGCTCCGCAAGGAAAGCCACCACGTGTACCGTCCATACAGTCAGCTTCCGGTGTCGCATCCAGTTCTCCACTCAAGAGTATGTGAGGGCTATCACCTGACAGTAATGACTACCTCGCATATTTGCAGTTTTATTTGCATCCTTCTGCCATTACAGTTCTGATTTCTTGGAAGTCTTTTTTTTTTTTTTTTTTTGCATTAAAATTCAAAATTCAATCATGTACCTTAAATATTATTTTAAATATAAAACTGTATAAACTAATTTCAAAGATAATCACTTTTTTAGATAATTATCTCAAAAATAATTATCATTATAATGGGTTTTTTAAGAATGAATTCTCTTTCCCAAATAAAAGGTGATAAAAATCAACATGGGTCTTTCTTTTTTTTTTTTAAATATTTTATTTATTTATTCGAGATAGAGAGAGAGAGAGAGAGAATGAGAGACTGAGCATGAGAAGGGAGAGGTCAGAGGGAGAAGCAGACCCCCTGCCAAGCAGGGAGCCCGGTGCGGAACCCGATCCTGGGACTCCAGGATCATGACCCAAGCCAAAGGCAGCCGCCCAACCAATTGAGCCACCAGGCGCCCTAGCATGGTTATTTTTAAAGCACTACTTTACCTACATTCCAGAACTGCTGATTTGCCTATAAATAGCATATATCCTGTAATCACTCCAAGAATTCAAACAAAAGGCCTAATATAATAAAAATTTACAAAGAAAGAGGAGAAAAAACCCAAAGCCTTTTAAGGGAAGCAGGGACTCTGGTTCTGGGTTAGGTACCTCATTAGCTATGCGGTCTCAACAAGTCAAGGACAGTGAGTGTTCTCACCTGTGAGATGAAGTGTCTGCCAAAGCGATGGCTCTCAAATTCTTTACCCCTTTCCGGATTTTTCTCCCACTGACCGATTTGTAAGATTTTGTCCTCTCAACTTCCTTTACTAAAAAACTTATTTTTCCATTTTTATAGAAGAATTTTAACTGCCAATCAGAACATCTTAATTAGCAGGAGATACCACACTGACTTACTAGTGATCTACCTGTTAAATTCTCCAATTCTATTAGTGTCTTCCAAATCAAAACTTCAAGTAGCTGAGTTTTAACTACAAAAGTGATGTCTCCTGGGGCGCCTGGGTGGCTCAGTGGGTTAAAGCCTCTGTCTTGGGCTCAGGTCATGATCCCAGGGTCCTGGGATCAAGCCCCGCATCGGGCTCTCTGCTCAGCAGGGAGCCTGCTTCCTCCTCTCTCTGCCTACTTGTAATCTCTGTCTGTGAAATAAAAAAATAAAATCTTAAAAAAAAAAGGTGATGTCTCCAAACATTTGTACATCATATTAAGAGTTTTCAAAGTTCTTTTGCATGTATTAAATTATAACAGATTTATAAGGCAGGAAGGATAGGCGTGGGAACTCCTGGCTTGAGCTTTAAGTGACCTTCCCCAAATCACACTTTCATTAGGTGGCTGGGTGGGACCAGAATTCCAAATTTCTAAGTTCAGTCTATAATGTACATGAATTCTTTAAAATAAACGTTAGCCACTGAGACCCTTGGAGAACTTCAGAATCACTGGTCTTACCTTAATGCTTTTAATGTGAGATGCTGCCTTCCCAAGAGGCTTTTCAGAAGATTTGTCCAATAGAAACTCAATGACAGCATCTTTGTTATAAAGTCTGCAACAGTAAGGATGAGTCAGAATATTCTAGCAACAATAAACCTCCACACAAAGGAGTAAGATGAAATTCAGTACAATCCAAAGTCATTTACATCTGATAACAGGAATGCCCTGCATTATTAAAGAAGTAAATTAAATCCTGTCTCAACTATTTCCAGAGTATACAAAGAAAGAACTAGTTTAAACAAGGGTTGCAAACTGGCAGTCTGAGGGCTGAATGTGATCTGAACAGGATCTTAAAAATCGAGTAGTTTAATATAAAAGTGCATTTTCCACTTTTCCTGGGAAAAACCAAGCTCTGAATCATTAGGCCCACATTCTTGAACTGCAACATCTGGTTGGAAATGAGCAGCAGCTCCCCTTCCACAAAGGACATGAACTCTCTAGTTTCCTCCAGTCCCCACCATTCCCTACTACCCCACAGAGCTCCTTCATGCATTTCTGTTTATAAATGAGCTCTTACTGGCCCCTGAACTTTTAGATCACAGATTAAATAAACCAAACTGAATAGAAAAAATGCAGACATATGTTCTGAGACAGGGAATGATAACCTAGGCTTCACGAATTTGTTTGAGATGACTCACATTTCAAGAATCAAGAACTGCATTTACACCTTAAAATTCTTTTATTTTTTTTCCACATTAAAATTCTCTTAAAAATTAGTTAATAAAAACTCATCTTAAGTAAGTAAAAGGAACCCTACCTGCCGAGTTCACAGGCAACTATTGGTCGCCTTAATATTTCTTGACTTAGAGTGCAATAGTTCCACTGGGCCACTAGCTCAGCATCTTTGTCAACCTGAGAAAAGAAAAAAAAAAAAAACCCCTTTCAATTAAATTTTACCTCTGAAAGATAATATGGGCCACAGTTCTACATATCAATGCTTATTTAGTTATACCACATGTGATGATTTGTCTTTTATATCAAAGATAGTGACACATGAAGCTGAAACTTTAAAAGTCCAAGTAACTTGGGTGCCTGGGGGGCTCAGTCATTGGGCGTCTGCCTTTGGCTCAGGTCATGATCCTGGGGTCCTGGGATCGAGCCCTGCATTGGGCTCCCTGGTTGGCGGGAAGCCTGCTTCTCCCTCTCCTATTCCCCCTGCTTGTGTCCCCTCTCTCACTGTGTGTCTCTGTGTCAAATAAATAAATAAAATCTTAAAAAAAAAAAAGTCCACGTAACTAATACCATGTCAAATCAAGTTCCCACTAAACAGGACACGTACAACAAAAGAGTTCACATTAAGCTGCATATGAGTATTTGCATCTATTTTTTAAAGTTTATGAACTCAAGACCCTGAGATGAAGAGTCACATGCTCTTCCAACTGAGCCAACCAGGCGTCCCCTAGCATTTGTACCTTAACAGTAAGTTAGAAAAGTCATACAGGTGCACCTGGTGGCTCAGTGGGTTAAAGCCTCTGCCTTCGGCTCAGGTCACGATCCCAGGGTCCTGGGATCCAGCCCCGCATCAGGCTCTCTGCTCAGCGGGGAGCCTGCTTCCT